TGGAAAACCATTACTTTTGTAGCAGAAGTCACAAATGGATTCTGGAAGAGGTCATCGCATTGCCCATGAGTCGAGAGTTTGAGAGGTTGACAACATTGTCATTTAGATCAAAAGCTAGTAGTTAAGATCCATTTTTTTTCTGAGTTCTGGAGATTTTGTGTGAAACAAGAAAAGCAACATTAAATGATGATCCTAAGTTCTGTGCAATACTGAGACATTGATGATAGCAAAACTGCAAACTGAAGCAGGGAAGGCTTGTAACGTCTACCATTCTTAGGCACCCTGGGAATGTATGTGCTTTTCCTGCACTAGGAAGGTAGCTGTGTGTGTATGTAGTTTTGTTTGTCTGTGTGCGTGCTGCAATTAACAGCAGTGCGAATGTTTGATACTCTAGCTTTCATGAAGAAAAAGGTCAATAAAAACATAAAAAAGTTATGTATTATTAAAGATACATAAAGAGTTAAACTATGTTAAAATAAAATATCTTAAAGTTCTCAAAACATCCATTTGTTCTTTCATCCTGTGCTTTATAATTCAAATTTAATACAAATTTTATTTTGTGTGTATTTCTTTGCATTAAATATAAATGCTCAAAGTTTGAAATACTTAGCCAGGCTTATAAAACTCTCCATCTAATATGATGATTAACGCATTCCGCATGTTCATGTGCCCAGCCAATCACATTCATTTATTTTAGGCAGGGGTAATTGTAATGCTACTGGTATAGAAAAACTTAGCCAGGTGATACCAGACCTGTATTGATATGTAAACGGTTTAAAAAAGCAGCCAGTAAGACAAGCAGAGTTCACATTAGAACACCTGGGGCCCCTCACAAACCCATCGGCTGGTCCCCCAACACCCCACCTATTTAATACTCACACACATGCACCCTGACATATAGATAACACTTACACATACATACATTTCAGACACACTCACAGATACACACATACCCAGATACAAACTGTTAGACAGATATACACACATTGATATTCAATGCCAGAAGCAAACAGATACACACACACTGACAAACATGCACACACACACTGACTCCATGCACAGACACTTACCCACTGTCAGATACACACAATGACAGATACACACTGGTAGACACACATACACAAATCAATAGACACACATATGCACTTGCAGAAACACACAAAATTCTTATGTTTTCCCTCTTTGCCTACCTTTTACCAGGAGTGTGGCTTCACAGTGATCCAGTGACTATGCAGGACCAACTGAGAGCTGTGCTGATGGGACTGTGCTGGGCTGTTGCTTTTTCCCATGTGGCTTCCTTTGAGTTCTGGGAAGATGTAAATGCACATAACTTCCTCTAAGTGCAGCCATGCTTGATTTTAATGGGGAGAAGCTGTAGATGTAAGGAGCCCATGCCATCACAGTTCCGCAAGATGGTCCAGTCTGAAACTGGACCACATAGCACTACAGAGCCTCTTGTTTGTTACCCTTTAACAAGCTACTGGCTGTACCCCCTTATTGGTGGCCCTGTAGACAACTGGAGATTTCAGCCACATGGATGCCTTTCTCTAGTTTCTATCTACTGATTTTGCCTGAAAGGTTTTTGAAATAACTTAATGAATTACAAATCTAAGGATGTCCTTTCGAGATGATTTGTTTGCTGGGATATAAAATACTTTTGTTTCTGCTACACTTCTAGAATTTGCAACTGCATCTTAAATTTTAGCTTTTGGTTGCATATAATCAAATGCAGTCACTAACCATGACATTGCCCTAAATAGAAGCCGAAACCAGTGGAAAAATATGTGCTATCAGGCTGATGGGTGCAATAATGGTTTATAAACAGTCTTGGTCCTATACAGCGGAAACAGGTTTCAAGATCTCTTCTGTATCAAGCTATTCGTTAGCAATAAAACTGTTATTAGGAATGGCACATTTAAAAATGTACTTTAACTGCTACAGTTCTCTGTAGTGATTATGGCATATTTAGTTTAAAGATAGCGTGTTCTATTTCTTGTCAGCCACTTGAATAATGCAGAAGTTACATTTTCAATTTCTGAAATAAAATTCTGTCCAACCTGGATGGCAATGATTAGCTACAATGAGCTGTAGAGATTCACGTATAATGCCAATGCTGTAATGGTTATTGTGCATTGAGTACATCTTTAAATGATGTCTCTAATCTCAGTGCCATACTGGAACATGAAATATACACTACACTGCCTAAGCACAAAATACATAAATAAAATAATTGTTTAGTATGAAAACATGCATGTATTTAATTATGCATTTTTTTATTGATATATCTAAAACAGGTTGAGAAAGCTGCAAATCTTATGTCTGAAGGCTTTGCATGCCCTCCCCTTCTAACCCAGCCCAGAATATATGTGGCTGTCCAATCACAGACTTCCTAATGCAGCTCAATGAGAAGACTCTGCAAGGCAGGTGCTCTGGGCAATTGCCTGCCCTTGAATTTAGCTTCACTGTGCTTAACAATCAAGAGGCAGCAGGACAAGTTGTCTGATGACAGCTGGGGGGTTATAACAAGGTTAATTTATAAAAGTAACAATTTCTATTGAAATGTGCACTTTTTGTAAAAAATTTAAAAAAGCAGAAACACTCTTCACACATAAAGCTCTTCATCAAGTTGAAGTGTGTTAGTGGTCTGGAGTGTTCTTTTAATGATGAAAGCTGCAGCAGCGCAGTAGTGTAACTCTCATCAGTTTCAGGCAGGGGCTCATGTCCTAATGCTGTACTAGGAAAAAAGAAAGCCCTAGTAAGGATTTTATAAAAATTAGATTTGTCATTACTGCACTTTGTGTCATTTGACAATTTATATGTAAGGATAATTTAAAAGAAGAAAGGTAAAAAGCTTAAAGGAGCACTATAGTCACCGAAACAACTTTAGCTTAATGAAGCAGTTTTAGTGTATAGATAATGCTTCTCGGGTTTTACTGCTCAATTCACTGCCATTTAGGAGTTAAATTCCTTTGTTTCTGTTTATGCAGCCCTTGCCACACCTCCCCTGGCTATGATTGACACAGCCTGCATGAAAAAAAAATGGTTTCATTTTCAATCAGATGTAATTTACCTTAAACAATTGCATCTCTTGCTCTGTAAATTGAACTTTAATTACATACAGGAGGCTCTTGCAGAGTCTAGCAAGCTATTAACATAGCAGGGCATATGAAAATTAAACAGAACTTACAATAAAGAAAGGATAAACATTAGGTGACTCTTTACAGGAAGTGTTTAGGAAGGCTGTGTAAGTCACATGCAGGGAGGTGTGACTAGGGTTCATAAACAAAGTGATTTAAATCCTAAATGGCAGTGAATTGAGAAGTAAAACCCGAGAGGCATGATCTCTACACCAAAATTGCTTCATTAAGCTAGTTATTTTGGTGACTATGGTGTCCCTTTAAACTGACTTGATAGCTATCTAAGTAATAATGCATACATTATATCCTACAAATACAAACATTAAAAGAGCATTGAATCAGTCCATTGGGCAGATATATTACATTAACACGTAAGGCTTTGTGGATATATTTAATAATCCAAGAGAGTTTAGCAAAATAACTCTAGTAAATGCCTGAGACTAGTCATTTATATTCAATTTCATGTTTTTTAAAGATTATTCTATTTCCACATTAATTTGGGATACTCATAACATTATAATGTTGTATGCCACTTGTAATGGATTTGGGAAAATAGTTTTTAAAAAGACCGAAACTTTACCAGTAGAATAACGTTGTTATTTTTTATAGTTTGTACCGATTAATAGTATCCCCTTGTGAGGCATGTAACTGCAAGTATTTATACATAAAATGGTATGTTGGGCTGCCTTTGGCTGTTGTAGGTTTAGTTATAATGTTTGTAGCAAATGTTATACTACATAAAAAAACTCCAAAACAAACTGCAACTTCTTTTCTAAATCTTTTATAATTTATTTAGTCATATCGTGTCTGGTATGTTTATCAATGGTTTATGATTATGGTATTCATGCTTCCCAAATCTAACTATTACAGTTTTGTTTCTACACTTTTTTCGTTTCTATCTTAATAAGGTATATCAAGCAGTAAGACTCATTGTGTGATGGAGCGAAAGCTCATACAAATGATTTATCACTTTAGGTGAAGCACACAAACAAGCCAATTAGTGGCAGAAGGTGAACAATATGTGTTTATACGAATGAATGCTCATCTTCTTCAGACTTCTTGTAGTGTAAAATCGTGTCATTCATATTCATGCACGTATCTGACAATGTATCTGGAAATCTCAACATTATTATAAGTACAATCTGTATTATAATTTGTGCTTTATAAAATATGGTAAAAGTCCCAGGCGTGTTTTATTATCAAAAGAATGTTCATAATAATGAGTAGAGCGTTACAAATAAATATGACCTGTACCTCACACTAAAACTCACACATTACCATTAGTTCACCCACAGATGGAGCTACTATGGACAGTAAATCAAATTGTTTTCTGCTGTGGTGGAATAACTTGCTTCTAGATCAACTATTTTTGAATTGTTGATTGATTTATCTAAAAACCAAGAGCCTTAGTAACCATATTGCAAAAGACTAACAACACATAGTTTGCAAGTTCCATAATTTGCATGATGTTTTAAAATGTGACAGACATGTTTTAAGAGAAGTCTCAATTGGGCAATGGCTGCTCATTCACTAGTTTGTACCATCTAGTAGATTATCCCCCACCTGCCGCATCTCAGTTGGGGGCATAAGAGGATAAAACACTTCTGTTATAATAATATGACCCCATATGATTATTTTTTTTTATTTCCTGTTTTCTTTTTTTTTTACTTTGTATAGGATCAGAAGCACTGATTCTAATCAGGACATGGAAGGCATATATGTGCAATACCTTGTACTCTGGCTTCAAAATTACGTGGCCGGGTGCACTACCAGGGCTCCGAATTCCAAGTGGTAAAAGTAGATGGCTGCACTCTTGGTCTTAAATAAAAATTAACTTTTATTTCAACTTCTTAAAAGCAGGATCAACATTTCAGTTCTTCTCAAGGACTTTCACCAGAATTCATGATCCTGATGAAAGTCCTTGAGGAGGACTGAAACGTTAATCCTGCTTTTAAGAAGTTGAAATAAAAGTTAATTTTTAGTTAAGATCAAGAGTGCAGCCATCTACTTTTAATATATATATATATAAGGCAAGCCTTATATTTAACCCTCTAACTGTTGTACTCGGAAGACTTTTCTGAACACAAATGTAAGTGTTTCAAAACAGATAAACATATTATGATGATGATATCAGTGAAACTACAATTTGTGCGTAAAAAAAAGCAAAAAAGGAAATATGAATGCTAATTTGGCCAGGGTTTAAGACAAGGTGGCTATTAAAACAGGCTGGACATAACCCCATTTTGAATATCTTGGGTTGTCTACTTTTGCAAATGGTATACCATAAGGGGGGTAATTCTCATTTCTGGGTTGCCATACGGTCTGGCAACCAATCTGGCAAATCTCTGTGTATAAAAATTGAAAAAAGCAAGCTCTTTATCTGACCCTGTGACTTTCCAAAACACCATAAAATCTGGATATACTTGTGAGACTTCCTGAACACAAATATTAGTGCTTTAGAGCAATTAAAACATATAATGCTGATGATATCATCAGTGATAAGGCAGTTTTTTTTTGAAAAATGCAAAAAACAAATATGAATGCCAAACAGAAATGAGTGTTTCAAAACAGTAAAACATATAACAATGATGATTTCATCAGTGAAAGTGCAGTTTGTGTGAAAAATACAAAAAAAAAATTGTTGACTTTGGTCAGTGTTTGAGACTACTAAAAAGACTGGACCCATTTTGAATACACTGGGTTGGCTGCTTATACAAATGGTATGCTATGCTGGGAAAACTTTTCGAAGGCAACATGGGCTCTGCAAACCAATCTAGCAAATGTTTATGTGTAAAGACTGAAAAGAGGGAAAGTCATATATCTGACCCTGTAGCTTTCAAAAATGTGTACATGGGGGGAGGGACTGTTACCCTTGTGAGACTGCTGAAAAAAAATATGTGCAATTTATTGCAGTAAAAGCTAACAGTTTTATGACATTTACAGTTAAAATGCCATGCAGAACTTAAAAAATAAAATGTCCTAATTTCTCACCCTTTTATACATTTTATTCATATTGAATTATGTTTCAGATATAAATGTTTCATATTATACTAAAATGGCTCTGATTCTCCAGAACAAAAGGATATATAAGTAGTGTGGGTGAACTTAAAGAAACACTATAGTCACCTAAATGACTTTAGCTAAATAAAGCAGTTTTAGTGTATAGATCATTCCCCTGCAATTTCACTGCTCAATTCACTGCCATTTAGGAGTTAAATCACTTTGTTTCTGTTTATGCAGCCCTAGCCACACCTCCCCTGGCTATGATTGATACAGCCTGCATAAAAAAAAAAACTGGTTTCACTTTCAAACAGATGTAATTTACCTTAAATAATTGTATCTCAATCTCTAAATTGAACTTTAATCACATACAGGAGGCTCTTGCAGGGTCTAACAAGCTATTAACATAGCAGGGGATAAGAAAATCTTAATTAAACAGAACTTGCAATAAAGAAAGCCTAAATAGGGCTCTCTTTACAGGAAGTGTTTATGGAAGGCTGTGCAAGTCACATGCAGGGAGGTGTGACTAGGGTTCATAAACAAAGGGATTTAACTCCTAAATGGCAGAGGATTGAGCAGTGAGGCTGCAGGGGCATGTTCTATACACCAAAACTGCTTCATTAAGCTAAAGTTGTTCAGGTGACTATAGTGTCCCTTTAATATGAAAAAGGTAAATTACGTTTGAACAAACATATAGCTCAAAATCAGGTTTTGTTTTTGATTGCCTCTGCCCTTAAGGGGTTAAGTTGAGGCTGTAATTAAATCATTTTGATGTAAATAAATTGCTCAGTTGAGTGGACAGAGATGTATGTTGATGTGTACTTGAAATTCCAATTGAGAACCTATAAACACTTTTTTTTTCTCTCCAGTGTTGGATAGATCCCAACTCAAATGTTTGGTGTAAAAGAAAAAGCTTAATCCCTCATTCACCGAGCAGATATTTAGAGAATATATTCCAAAGTGTGCATTGCAGTGCTGACATTTACTTAATACATTAATTGAATGGATAGATTAGTGAATGACTGGTAGCTATGTTTGTACATAGCTTATGTTATTTGTATGCTTAATTGTTGCAGCTGGGGGTTTTATGCTAGGTGTGGTTAACAAATTATAGGAAGGTATTTATTACTATAAAGAATTTGTGACAAAAGTGATTTTGTAAATGCTTTGGGATCTCTGCTAACAGACAGTGTATTATGAATTGGTCTGTATAGTTTAGAATTTAAAGAATCTTGATTTAACATCATGAAAAAAAAAAAAACATAATTAATTATGAGTATATGACAACTTGTGTTGATCTTACTGTATAATACTACAGCTAACATCCTTAAATATAACTGTATTCCCCCTATTACTGCTTGAGATTAATAATCAGTTAGAATGATGTGAACAGCTTCACAATATTCATAGTAGGTTTGAATAAACCCCCTCCGTTACAGAATATCAGTCCAATTTGGATCTGTAGTTTTTTTTCTCCTTTGTTTTAGTGTTTTTTTAAAAATTGTTTTATTGTTTGTTTGACTGTATAACTTGAAAAATGTAATACAAATTATAAACAATTATGAATCCATAGTGTCAGCTGTGCAGTTAAGAATAAAAAAAAATTATGAAAGGACAATAGTCATTAATGTTTTGCACAGTCAAGTCCTGCAGAAGATTGTACTAATGCAAAGGTTTATATACACCTTTAACAACTTACGGACATCAGAATGATTCATGCCATCCTAAAAAGTGTGAGTTTTAATAGTGTTAGATCACCAGGGAGGCCCAGGTATCAATCCATGCCTGGGGAGTCTGTATGTTAGCTGGGGCCAGATTTAGTGTTGCCAGGTGAGCTGTTAGTAGCCTTCTAAGTAAATGCACCGTATAGCCCTTTACATCCATGTAAAACACTATGGCTGAGTGATTGTTGTAATGGACCGTTTTGCACACAAGGGGTAAAAACCGTTTAGGCGATCGTCCCCCTTTCCAGAGATGCAGGCACAGCTATTGTAAAACACCAAACTCACGAACCGCCAATAAGGGAATGCTCCAAACTCCCAAACGGCATCCAATATAGCACTCCAAACACACGAACTGGAACCATACGAATCACTGCTAGCAGACGAATAGGAAAAGCATCCAAGCGGCTTACACTCCTAGCAATCAGTCTCTATCAGCATTCAGTAAATCCCCCCAAAGACGAGACAAGGCTCCGTGTTGAGGGTCAAGCAGTGGTCTGTTTAATGAGGGCTACCTGCCCAGTATTTATGCAGGTCTCCCACCTGGTGGACACTCCCCTAGGGGACCAAATGGGAGACTGTGACAAACGACAGACAAGTTGACAAATAGGACACACAGTCACATTATATTCCCACAATGCATCCTGGCTTCCTCCCCTCTGCCCTGGAGATAATTGAGAGGTAATTCAATTATCTCCCAAGACAAAGGCAAATCGCCATTATGCACGTGGGGATACTAAAACATGATTTACTATTAAAATACACCATGTAAGACACATTACATTAAAACTATACATTTAACATGTCCCCAGATAGCTCAGGTCTGAGCGCACATTATTAAGCGAATGGCGCTCAGACTACATGAATACAATTCAATCGCCATGGAGCCAAAGTCTTTATACAGTCAGTTCTCATGCGAATGGGCTCCATGGGATTCCTATCTGGGGTATAACATAGACAAGTAAAACTACCGAACACCGGCCGTTCATGTACTTCCACCGAACAAGAAGGGAGGTCGGCGGCTTCAGCGGTGTTCGCGCAAAACTGTGTCTGATTTTAGTTCCATGAATTGAGCGTCGAACACCGCTGTGCGTTCGCGGGTTTAAAATGGCCATGACCTCGTGTTCGTGATACGAATGGCGGCCACCCAGCATTCGTCAATTAAGCTGCGGTTAACCGCAGCTTCAGGGAGGCTAATTGCCGGCACACTCCAGCTCCCAGGTGGTCTAGTCCTTCGTGCGGTTGTTCAGTAGATCGAATCTACCGAACACCAGGCAGAAAAGCACGAATAAGTCTTTTCTGCAAGGAAAGAGATGTCTTTTAACAGGGGGCCATAGTCCAAAGGCAGCAGGCGAGCAACCAGGCTTCTCCAATGCAATGTGGCGAGATTGCTCTCGTCACAATTGTATTCAGCGGTTGTCATTCCCTATACAGAGGGAGGCCCTTGGGATTTGCTAGGATCTCCCTGCTGAGAATGATTAACACCTGGCTATACCAGCTGCTCAGCATTGATTGCTGTGTGAGAAGCTGCAGTATTAGAATACGATCAACATTTCATGATACAATCACTCAGTACAGACCACCCACAAAGTGCTCAATAGTGTGAGAGCTGGGACAAGCTGGGAAATCCCTCTGCTGATGTAAGTCCTGAGTTAGAGTTAGGGATAATTATAGGGCTAGAGCTAGTGTAGGGTTAATATTAGATTAGGCCTAGGTTTAGCATTAGTGTAGAGAAAGGTTAATGTGGGGCTAGTTAAGGCTTGAGTAAGTGTACGGTTAGAGTTCGGGGCAGGTTTTGTATCGTTTTTGGAATAGGGCTGGTGTAGGTTTATCTTTAACTACCAATAATTAATTTTGATCCTACTTATGAGACATTTAACAATCAGGACTAATAAGTGAATCTATTTATTTTTCTTTTGTTGCACTTAATGTATAAAAATATTATAAGAAAAACTGTGTAACTATTTGTATCTATTTTATTCTGATTTTGAACATATTATTTATAGTTGTGTTAGGAAGACTTATAGGATATTAAAAGAAAGCTCTTTCTATCCTTAATAAAACAAAACAAAATATAATATTATGGGTGTGCTTAACCCCTTAACGCCGAGTGACGGACGAGGTCCGTCACTCAGGGGAAACCCTTAACGACGAGTGACGGACCTTGTCCGTCACGCAGTAAAATTAACCCCATATCGCCGTGATCGCGGGGTTAATGGT